ATGACACCAGGGGTGGCAGTACCTCCTTAGCCACCGAAACTGTGTTACCTCCCCTGATTGGCGGCTGACGAGGGCAGGGTATCGCATGTCCTTTCAGACGTTGTATGTAGAGAATACATATTTTTATTAAATTTCCATCCATTGTAGTCTAATTAGACTTGAAAGGATCAGTATAAAATAAACAGTCTATGTTGTTCAACAAAACAGGTTTAAATGAAAATATGATGCATATATATATATATATATATATATATATATATATGTTTTAAAAGTAGAATATATAATGACGACAACATTTGTTATATCCGATAATGCATTTGGCCATTTAAACTTCATCAGATCTGAAAACAAAATAATGAAATACGTATATGTGTATGTTTATATATTAGATAATTAAAATGTAAAACAAGTAAAATAAATTAACCCAAACAAATAAATAAATAAACAAACAAGACACTCCCGCAAAAAACACCGCCAGAATAGAGTACCCACAATGCATCACTGACCCATATATATAGATAGTCGATGGAAAATCCAACAATCGCGGCCTGACGATTACGTCCAGCGTGAAACAGCCTGTCGCTTCTGAGTGTTGACTTTAATGTTCACTTTTATATTTATATTTACATACGCTCTATCTCTGATATAGAGCACTTAATCCCATAGATATAGCACACCTTAAAATTATATTTATTCATATATATATATATATATATATATATATGAAGAAATTTTGAAAAAACAAACAAAAATCTGAAAATTTTCAGTTATCTGTTCTGAATAAGACTTGTGTTTTTATGTCCATCGTATTTGTCATATTGAACTGAATTGTATTTTGATGAATATTGTCTTGAAAAAGATTTATTAAACCGAAACGTCAGACGTCGACATTTCTTTCATTTTAACTACATTTAAGGATTTTTGTTTGTTTTTTCAAAATTTCTTCATTCTGTCGGATTTATATCCATTTACACTTGCTTATATATACATATATATATACATATATATATATATATATATATATATATATATATATATATATATACATATATATATATATTTCATTAAAGATTGCTAACAAGGAACTGCGTTTAAGCTTTTTAGTTAGACCTATGCGAATAAAATTCCATAAAAAGCGCAAATTCAGTACTTTGTCAGTCATCTTTAATGAAGCCTGTATAAAAGAAGGGTTTCTGCCCAAATACACAATTATTAAATAAATAAATATATATATATATATATATGAAAGAAAAGACATTAGGAAAACTGTACTTAGTTTAGGCGACGCGTCTTGTCATTCGACCGACTTTATCAAGGCAAATGTGATGGTTTTTATATTGCAACAAGTATATATTTGACAGTTACTCGAAATTTCCAAAATTAAGAATATTCACAAATATTAAGTAAGTTCTTTGAAAAGATTTAGTTGTTAGATTCTAGATTACGTCATATAGCATACTGACTTTTCATTCATTTTGTCATACATATATACTCCATCTGGGAATATTCACACACACACACACACACACACACACACACACACACACACACACACACACACAGACATACATATATATATGTGTGTGTATGTGTGTGTGTATACAGTACATTAGCTTATGTGTTGATTGACTTTGTAGATAATGTAGTGTACAGGCACACATATACACCAAATTATATCTGTATAATCTTACATATTTAAAATCTTTTCTGTCCCACAAGTCCTGACCAACTTACCGTCAGCAAAGAAACCTTTTTCATTACACGCGTTCAAATGCATATTTTATAAACTGCTTCGCTTATCTGGAATAACCACAAAAGCTTTGCCAATGATCAACACCAATCATAAATATCTCTCATATAGTCCGTCAATCCTTCATTGTTATTCGACACATGCCTACTCGGATGGTAGACCATTGTTAATCGAGGGCTTCTACTATCTGCCGGGTCCATTCATGATGTCTACATTCGTAGCTCTCTACAATTTCCTATCCTTTGATATCCAATATCGGAACGTGCAAAGACGCAACGCTAAGTTTTTCAAAATTTTAAGTGAGAATCTTATTTGAATTTTTCTTGTGATGTGGTAAATCCACGTATTCTATTTTTACAAGTCATTTCAGTTAATATGTCATGAACTAAGTATATAGTTCAATTAATATAGTGTTATGTCACGTTCCGATATTTTACACAACCGTCAATAATAGCACATTCTCAAAAAAAAAAAAAAAACATCTTTCGGTCTACAAACAATTATTTCGTCTCCAAGTTTTGATTTTATAAGGAAAAGATATGCCTGACGATGAATAAAGGATTATTCGAAAGTACTTGCATTTAAAAAAAATATAAACTGGAAACAACAGACAACAGTTTTATAAATGAGGATCACATCACTCTATGAATTAACAGTATTTTAATGCATACATTATACACTACTAGCGAGGGATGTCGCCAATAATAACATTAATATTGCTGATTGATTCTATGCGTGATTAATTCTTTGTATATAAATTATATGCTGCTAATATATATATATGTGTGAAAAGTGTATATATATATATATATATATATATATATATATATATATATATATATATATATATATATATATATATTATTTATATATTATATGCGCGGTACTTATTAGAAAGCGCTCAATATCAGAGATAGAGCTAACATATTTGGTTGGATTGATGTGAGTTTGTGACCCTGGGTTTCACGCTTTTGCGATCGTCAGAAAGCGTGAAACCCAGGGTCACAAACTCACATCAATCCAACCAAAATATATATATATATATATATATATATATCCAAATGTAATGTGAACGAAAATAATATATAAATTCTAACGTTCACACCATTAATTCAAAAAGAATTTGAATTTAATTTGTCTATATGAAAAAATTATAATAAATAATTACACACACACACAAACACACACACACACACACACACATATATATATATATATATATATATATATATATATATATATATATATATATATATATATATATTCAAAATTATGGTAATTTACCCACGCACGCATGGACTCTCCCAGCTATAAATAGGAGCAGGTGCTGCCTTTTTGGTGGGTGAAGTTTCCTGCTGTCAGCTCTGACAGTTGGACCGAACATTCTTGCTGTAACACTTTCATTTGTATATGTTTGTATTGCTTTTTCTGTTAATATATTTGTTTAATTTAATTCTTCTCTTGTGTCTTTATTTCTGGCCCTAACAAGGTCACAACATAACATATGCATGCTATAACATCATTTGTTTCAACACTACTGGTGTCTTATCAAGTGATCGTGTTGATTGCAAAAAAAAGGGTTATAAACAAAATTGCAATTTCTATAGTGATGTTATAACAGGCTTTTGTTATAATTTTGAATAAATATTATTTGCTTTACTCGGTACTGAGCACTCTTTTAAGAATAGTGTTTTTGGTTATCGGAATTTTATTACATATGTACTAACCCTGTACCTGTATATTTATATATATATATATATATATATATATATATATATATATATATATATATATATATTGATTTCAAATTTGCAAACATATTAAATATATTTCAATAAATATACAAAATGTCGACACGAACAGTCACTTAAACATAGGGAAACGCGATATGCGAAAATGGAAGAATCGATATAGCACAAAAAAGATTTTGTATACCGATAGTCGAAAGTACTCAGATATTTGACAAGTTATATTTAGATATGTACAAGAACTCCTCCGCTCAAAGAATGACCAGAAATGTAGAAAAAATTATGTATACACTCATACAAACACACACATATATATATATATATATATAGCATGATAAAAATATCTATGGATATGCATTTGTGTGTGTGTGAGGTTACTTAAAGCGAAAACACTTGCATTCTACCATGTGTCCCTTTCAACATGATAGTGTGACAAATTGAGCATTCACGGCGATAATCAACAGTCGAATGCTTATAAAATCTGATTCTCAACAGCTAGTGATATCATAATAGCAGTGAGAGTAGGTATTATTCATCATTGCATCTATATTTGAACCATTCCTTGTTTTTTTTTTTTGCATTTTTCCTTTACGATTTCCCTCTCTGTCCATGACGTTGGATGTAATTGTGAAGACAGTTTCGAACAATATTTGCCCGTACCCAGTAACCAATTCCAAATTGATGGAACCAAACTATGTGCTGCAGATCTTTATAACCATTCAAGTCGTAGATATGAATGGATTTTTCTGTTTCCCTTTTCCTTCTTTAATTTAGAAAGAATAAACGAGGACGTACATCAAAAGAAAATAGAGAAAAAAAAAGGGAGAAAATGAATGAAGAATGAATAAAGAAAGAAAAATGGTGAGGTGAGAATCAAATAAAAAGAATCAATGAGTGAAAAAGGAAAAAAAAGGAAGAAAAGAAGAAAGAAAAAAATTAAAAATTATTTTATGAAAAATTTGAACAATAATAATAAAAATAAGAAAGAAAGGAATATTATTTAGATAAAAGAATGAAAAAGCTAGAGAGACGTAAGGTTGCTTAGATAAAGAAAAGAAAAAGATTGAAGGAAAGAAGGAAGAAAGAATGAAAGAAAGAAAAACAGAAAGTAGTAAGACTATTGAGATAAAAGATTGGGAAGAGAAAGCAAGAAAGAGTTAATGTTACTTAGCGAAAAGAAGGACGAAAGAAAAAAAAGAAAGACGCTGGATTATTTAGTTAAAATGATAGAAGAAAGAAAGAAAGAAAGAAAGAAAGAAAGAAAGATAGATAGATAGGTAGGAAGGAAGGAAATAAGAAAAAACAAGAAAGGAAGAAAGAAAAAAAAAGAAAGAAAGTAGTAAGATAAAAGAATGGAAAAAGAAAGCAAGAAAAACAAGGTTATTTAGATCAAAAGAATGAAGAAAAATTGCGTAAACTTATTTAGATAAGAGACGCGAGGAAGAATACAAGCAAGAAAGACTGACATAATTATTTAGATAAAAAAGAAAAAAGTAAGAAAGAAATAACACAAAATTGCATAGATAAAAATCAGGAAGAAATAAAGAAATAAAAATGTAATATTATTTAAGTAAATAAAGGAAGTGAAAGAAATAGACAAAATTATTTTGTTAAAAGAAGAAAAAGAAGAAAAACGAATGTTAACAAAGCAAAAATGCAAGCCAACAATCAACGAAGAAAACCGTAAGAATATTTCGATAAAAAGGAAGAGAAAAACGAAAAAAGTATTTAGATAAAGGAAGAAATAAAAGCAAGGAAGGTGTAAAATGAAAGAGAAAGAAAGAAAACCCTAAGAAAATTTATAAATAAAAAGAAAGGAAGATAGAATATCGTAAAAGTATTTAGATAAAAGTAGAAAAAAAAAAGCAGAAAGACATAAAATAAAAAAGAAAGAAAGAAAGACGTAAGATTAAGACGTAAGAAAAGAAAAAAGAAAGCAAGAAAATAATGCACAGGACAAAGAAACGAGATGAAGAAAGGTAAGCAACAACAACAAAAAGAAAAAAAAAAAGAAAAAAAAAGAAGGAAGGAAGACAGAGAGAGAAAAAGACTGAATCCGATAATGTTGAAATAATCACCAGTGTCCAACGAACATTTTTTTCTTTCAACAACCAAACCCTCTCAACTACATCAGGCCATTCATCGCAAATTCCCGCAACCCACATATCCTTCTCTCTTCCCCACATGTATATACACGATATTTTCATGATATATGCAATCCATCAATCAAACAAACAGATATTACCGTGCCAGGAAGCTTCATTACGTGGTTTTCCCGAGTTGCCTTCAGAATCGCTCTCAATGACAAACAAATCACCCATCCATCTTAGTTTCCACACATACACGCAAAAAGCTAACTTCAATCAACAAACACAAACATTAAGACACGCAAGATTATTATTATTATTAATAATAATAATGGTTGATTTGTTTATTTGCCTCGTTTACGCTTTCTGATGTATTTTGAACAATTTCTTTCATTCTTTCTTTCTTTAAGTTTCGTGTGTCTAACATTTTTTTTCTTTTTCTTTCATTCTTTCTTTCTTTAAGCTTCGTGTATCTTCCTTTTTTCTTTCGTTCATTTATTATTTATTTCTGGCTTTGTTTGTCTAAGCTCCGTGTGTCTGGCTCATTTTTCTTTCTTTCTTTACTTAAGATTCGTGTGTCGTCCCTTTTCTTTCTTTCATTCACTTCTTCTTCTTTTTTTACTCAAGCTTCATGTGTCTAACATATTTTTCCTTTTTTCCCCTTCCTTTAAGTTTTGTGTATCGACCTTTTTCTTTCTTTCATTCACTTATTTTTCTTTTTTTTTCTCTTTACTTAAGCTTCGTGTGTCTTCTTTTTCTTTCTTTCTTTTTTTCTTTCTTTTTGTAAGTTTCGTGTGTCTAACATATTTTTCTTTCTTTAAGCTTTGTTGTGTATCTAACTTATTTTTCTTTACTTTTCTTTCTTTCTTTTTTTTTACTTAAGCTTCATGTGTCTAACTTTCTTCCTTTCTTTCTAACATATTTTTCTTTCTTTTTTTATTTAAGATTCGTGTATCTGACTTATTTTTCTTCGTTTTTCTTTTTTTCATTTTGTCTTTCTTTCTTTCTTTCTTTCTTTCTTTCTTTCTTTCTTTCTTTCTTTCTTTCTTTCTTTGTGTCTAACATATTTTTCTTTCTCTATTTAAGCTACTTCTATCTGACTTATTTTTCTTTGTTTTTCTTTCTTTCTTTCTTTCTTTCTTTCTTTCTTTCTTTCTTTCTTTCTTTCTTTCGTTCTTTCTTTCTTTCTTTCTTTCTTTCTTTCTTTTCGACTAATTTTCTTTTCTTTCCCTCCCCATACCTTTTCTTCATCTTTATCCCTTTTTCTCACCTTCGCTCTTTTTCATTCTTTTTTTGGCTCCAGTTATACTGGAATTTCGTAAGATTTGCCTTTTATGATCTGATTGTATTTGTTAGAAGAGATCGGCTTTCAATAAACAAAGTTGTATGCATGGATATGCATCCCTATTCAATCTTCATGGCTAAGTGAATAAAAATATAAAAAAAAAAAGAATGAAAAGAAGAAGACGAAAGAAAGCTATGATTGAAGAGCGGAATCATCAGGAAGTTAAAAAAATATAGACAACACTATAAATGAATTATGACAGGAATGATAAATGAATAAATTCGTGAATAAGGAGGCACGAATGAAAAAAAAATATGAATATGTAAATTAAAGAAAGTAGAAGAAAAAATGAAGTAAAACATAGAAACGAATGAAATAAGAAGATTGAAGGAGGAATGACGTAAGGCAAGACCAAAATATATGAAAAAATAAAAAAAAGAGAAAAAGAAAGAAAATGTGGAAATGAAGGAAAATATAGTGAAGAAGATTGACTGAAAAAAAAAGAAAGAAATATTAAAATAATTAAAGTAAAGAATGAGTGAACCGGAATAAAAAAAAAAAAAAAAAAAAAAAAAAACAAACTATATGCAGGAAGAAAGAAGAAAAAAGAAGAAAAATAAAAGTGAATGAAGATTAGAGAAAGTAAAAGAAGTATAAAAGGAAGGGGTGTTGAAAATCAGGAAGAAAAATTAAATCAATTAAAAAGGAAACGAGGTGTTAAGGCAAAAGTACCACGCATTCTCATTTCGCCTTCTCGCCTTTACAAAATAACTTTGAAAAAGAAAATTAAACTAAAGAAACCTAAGAAATTGTAATTGCAAAAACAATAACTAAAGATAAAGTGGAATAAATAAATACGTAAGTAAGTAAATAAATAAAACTATGAAAAAAAAAAAAAAGAAATTAACAAGGAATGGCGATAAAAAAAGAAAATTAAATAAAAAAGAAAGGAATAAAAAAAGTAGAATGGGCAGAGAGATCGAGTGAGAGAGATAGAGAAAGAGAAAGAAAGAGAGAGAAAGAGAAAGATCTAGAGAGAAATGGGGGGAGGTGCAAATAGAAAAAGAAAAGAAAGCGAAAGTAATAAAAAGCAAACGAACAGAAATTAAGAAAAAAATTATAAAGGGGAGATAAGTGAACAGACAAATGCATGTGTGTAGGGCAAGAAATACGCATGCGTAACACACGACGCTGAGAAAATACCAACGAATGAATAAGCACCGAACGAATATTAAAAGAGAAAGAAAAATCGATTAAAACGCAAAGCCGGTGAAGATATTGTATAAAAATTCTCATAGTAATAAGAAAAAAAAAATTTTCTCACCTCATTCTTTTTTTTCTCTCTGTCGAAAGTAAGCCAGTTGAAGATTTGAAATTACCCAATCGCATTTCAAACTTGACTCAAAACCCAAACAAATAAATAGCAATTGAAGTCCTCAAAATTATGCCTACCTCCAAAGAAGTATCAACTGCATAATCTAATTAGAAAGCGTATCAAGGAAGCTTTTCAATACATATATACCGGTTTCCCACTTGATGTTAGAAGATCGAAGAAACGATTTACTTATTTACTACTCAGTATTTTGAGATTCCTACTTCTTTTTTGATGTGTGTTTAGTTTCAGTGAGTGTATATTTTGACCTTGAAATTAAAATGCAGTTATTGGTTCGTTTGTTTAGCGCCATATCAACTCCTTATGGGTCAAAATTTAATTTTTTGGGGAGCATTAGTAATTTCTTTTACAAAAATATTAAGCAATGTCTAGTCTGGTCAGTAGCTAGATGGGTGACCATTTGATGACAATATGACACTGTCTAAAAATGAGGATTTTGAGTTCGTTTGTTTAGCGCCATATCAACTCCTTATGGGTCATTTAATGCCAAAATTTAATTTTCTTGGGAGAATTAGTAATTTCTTTTACAAAAATGTTAAGCAATGTCTAGTCTGGTCAGTACCTAGATGGGTGACCGTTTGATGACAATATGACACTGTCAAAAAAATGAGGATTTTGAGTCCATTGGTTTAGCGGCATATCAACTCCTTATGGGTCATTTAACGCTGAAATTTAAATTTCTTTGGAGCATTAGTAATTTCTTTAACAAAAAACTTTAAGCAATGTCTAATCTGGTCAGTAGCTAGATGGGTGACCGTTTGATGACAATATGAAAAATGAGGATTTTGAGTCCGTTTGTTTAGCGCCATATCAACTTCTTATGGGTCATTTAATGCTGAAATTAAATTTTCTTAGGAGCATTAGTAATTTCTTCTACAAAAACTGTATTACTGGTAATTTTTTTTTACAAAAACGTATTGATGGTAATTTTTTTCAGAAATGTATTTCTGGTAATTTTTTTTTCTCAAAAACGTATTGCTAGTAAATTTTTTGCAAAAATGTATTACTGGTAATTACTTTTTTTTTTCAAAAATGTATTGCTGTTAATTTTTTCAACTATGAAAATGTATTGCTGGTATTTTTACTGTAAAAATAAATGTTCATACTTTCATAGTGTTTTGACCCGAGTTTGGGGGTTAACTATTTGCCCATAGCCGGGACACTAACAGGGTGGACCTGGAGAAAAAAAAGCAATACAGAGGTGGTTTCATGATCCTCAAAACCTCCCGATCAGACGCCTTGATGCCGGATGTAGTTTATCGTCAAACCTTCAGTCATTGGTAATAAACAAGTACTTTCGAATTTAAATCAAACTTAGAAACTGTAGCACGATAGCTTATTTGTCATACGGTAACAGCTATACTAATTTAACTAAAGTGGTGAAAAAGTTGCTATATGATTCACTGAGGTTATAAAGGGTTACTATACCCTAGACCCGACATAAACTTGTTGGGTTCCTTTTAAAATCAACTAGCAGCATGGCCCGTCGTTGCCCGTGCTTGATTCAAAAATCGTACAACTCATACAGCAATCACTATCACTTGACTTAAAATATTTTTGCCCTTCCTTGCCTTTAAAGGAGTGCCCTTTGCTATGCTGATGTTGCTACATGCCTTACTTCTAGCCTATTTCACACTGCGAATTTTTTCTAAGCTCTATACTAAACATTAAATCTGTTACGAAAAAAGAACTAAACAAAATGAACACAAAACGATCAGCTTTAAAAAAGGACTCGTAACTGGAAAAACCGAATGAAAAAGAATGTTAACAACAAATACTTTTTCACACCCAACCCAGTTCTGCGGAATCAGAATCAACGTTGAGTTTAAGCAAGCGAATGAGCCAATTGGAGTAAAGTGCCATGCAGATTTAAATTTTTCCCACTTGTGACGAATGCAGCTATCGATTTATTTTGCATACTAGCATGCTAGTTAACATTCGTGTCAGTCAGCTGTTGGCTCTCACGTTGGCCAATAGAATCTTCCTGCCTATTCGTGGCAGCCAGCTATAGGCTCTCACTCTGGCCAGTAGAAAATGGCCGCAAACTACATGAAAACTGCCGTATAAGCATGAAAAATCAATTATTTCCACTATCGATGGGAGTTGGAAAATGCAAAGTCGGTCTTGGCCTTTTGTCAACTTGGAGCGTGTTCATGTAAATTTTGGTGCAAATCCGTCGAAAATTGCGGCCGTGCATTCGTTACACACACACACACACACACACACACACACACACACACACACACACACACACACACACACACACCTCCTGCTTTTTATAGATAGAGATTCATGATGCAAAATGTTGAGATATTATTAATTACACTTATTTTAATTTGGATTTGTAATACATGTTATTGTAATAATAATTATTACTCACATTATACAATATTACTTAGG